ATTTTTTGTAACGCGTCTTGTTGAGCCATTTTGTTAATAGATTGACTCATTCTTCTTGTGAAAAGAAAATCAATGACATTCAAAGGACTTTGTACTTGACAACGAAAAGCATACCAAATATCGCATGATCATTCGAATAGTGAACACATCAATGAGTGAATCTCTTTAACGAGTTATATAGTCAAGTTATAATTGCATACTTTGACAAACTGATTTCTAATATCAAACTAATGTATATTATTAATATTAATATTAATCATCATATTATTATATTAATCAATTAAATATATTAATATATATTAGATAGATCATCAAAAAGTATCTTTTATCTATAAAAACGGTCGACTTGTATTTTTCTACTTTCAATGATCGAATTTATTAGAAAAGTCACGCTTCTATTATTCTTTGTCATTCAAAAAATAAACTGCGCTTCATCTGATCAATATAAAAGCACTTCATCAATATTTGATAATCGTTTGATAAGATATATTATGAAAGATATCATTTCATAATAACTGGTCCAACTAGCCAGGATATTCTGACTAGCTCAGTTTGTAGAAAATTTGCCAAGGGCTTTCCAAGACTATATTTTTGAAAAATATATAATTTTTCATTATGACAGAATACATGACTAAAGGAGTGTGCTGGACGTGTTTTTCGTACTACAACGCTTTCTTGCACATGTCTTTGGTGACTGGTTCAACCAGTCGAGATATGCTAACTAGTTAAGTTTCAAGGGCTATCCAAATATATATAGACTGAGATGCAGCCTGACTTTTAAATACACAAAATAAATAAAATTTTGTGAATCTGTAGCCCACTAAGTATGTGATCATGTAAAAGTTTCGTCTACCATTTCTTAACAAATAGCAGCGAAGATATGATTTGGGTGCCTTTCAATTCCATTTTTCATCGTCTATCTAACAATGGTCGAATGAATCTTATCTATTGTTTTAGCCAAGAGAAATTACTAGTTAGATGAGACAGCAAAATGATGAAGGTGAAAAAAAGCCTTTTCTTTTTTTTCTTTTCGCTCAGGAATGACAGAGAATAGTAGAAACATGACTTTTCTAATAAATTCGGTCATTAGAAGTGGAAAAGTATGAGTGGGTCAATTCTCGCTCAAATGCGCCCCCGTCCTTTCTATTAACAAATTTTGATTTTAATTTTGATCAACAATCTGACATCGTAAAAAGTTTAACATAATCATCTTGTTCGTAACAACATACTATTAAATACATACATATGTACTTTAGAAAATATATCCTATTTTAATTCGAGGTTACAGTTTTTATCACAGAACCGTATGCTGATCGTTTGGCTTTGGAGACAATTTTCAATTCAAATGACCAACTATTTAATCAGCGACGCGTAGTTCTGTAACTGATTCACTTATTTTATCCCGGTGAAAATTAGTATCTTGTAGTCTACATGGTACGACTGAAAATGCTGACCTCAAGTACTTTTTAAGGGAGATCCTAAATGAATGTTCGTCTTTAACATAGCGAGTTTCTTACTGATAGAAGAAAACTAGCATAAAAAACTCTTAACCATTTTAAACAGCCTAAACTTCCAGTAGAAGGATGTGCAAGTCGGGACGCTAGCGAAAGTTCTAGAGATGAGAACATATTTGCATGTCTTGTCTGGTGAAGATAAGCGACACATAGAATACAGTTTTTTTGTTAGCCTCTGAAGAGGAATTCGAAACCGATCAGGTTAATAAAATATAAAGAAAACGAATTACTCATTATTAATGTTTCACAACTCTTCAATCTAATAAACACATTTGGTTGATAAAGGAAAGATTTTATTTAATTTAAATAAATTCGATAGTAAAAATTAGTTTAAATTAATTTATTTCAAATGAATCCGAAATATTCTTATCCTTTAAATTAATTTTGAGTGTTGAAATTGCTGTAAAATAAATTATTTTAAACGTATCTACATTAATTTGAACCCTCAGAATTAATTAAAACTAATTTATTTTATCAAAATTATTACAAAAACATTTATTTAAATGAATTTGAGAGTGGAAATCAATTTAAAGCAATTTTAGGCACGAAATTATTTTGAATGAGTTCGAAATAAATAAATTTGAAGCAGTTTAGTTAAAACTAATATAAACTGATGTTTTTTCAAACTAATTTGAGCTGATTTTAGTCTAGAAATTAATTCTAGTTGATTTTACTGCGAAATTGATGTAAATTAATTTACTACAAACGACTTTAAAGTAATTTGGCCTTTTAAATTGATGTGAAGTAATTTTTCATCTTCTTTTGAATTAGAAATTAGTTTGAAATCAATTTGAAAGTATTTAAAAGTTCCAGTGGGTATACTTTAACTGACAAATAGTCACCAGTGATGTTAAAACCAAAACAATTTCTGTGGTCACTGAAACTTTTTAATCATCCAGATTACAAAAACTTTTTCGGAAATCTCAACGAACAATGTGAGAATTTTTACTTACCGAGTCGATACAGTAATAAACACCGACATTTATTATTATTTCCTGACTCATGCTCGACGCATCGTCGATTATAAAACACTATCAGAAAAGTCATAAAAGCGTAAAAAGTTCTTAAAAGCATAAAAGCCAGAAAAGTCAAAAAAAACGAGAAAAGTTAGAAAGGTCAGAAAGGAGTAACTGTAAAGACATTCCTACTTTGGATATTCGTTCGTCTCTGAAAAACATTTACTAATTGATTTTTGTCTCCCTCACACATTTCATTTCGAGAACGAATCACATTACCATTAGTAAATAACTTAGAACAGTGAACGAAAAGCAAAATAACAATTTATTTTCTTCCAACGAGAAGTTACATTATATTCATTTAGTGACTTAAAATACGGCCTGAGCACGTAAAAGCACTGCTCTGTGTGATGAGTTTGAAGTACGAAATTGATAAAACGGATAATGCTGTTTTGTAGAGCGTAGCCTATGAAAACACCTTTTAAAGACTATCGAGTATAAATGCGTAAATAATTGTTTCACGAATATTTTCTCTTGTTCAAAGAAAAGAAATTGAAGAAAAAACGTAATTTCTTTTTTTCTTGCTCCGAATTTACTATTTTTCAATAACGACCTTTTGAAAACCACGACGACAATCAAATTTTTCTTTTCGTATTTGTATAATTCTCCGATTGACTTACTTATTTTCTGTGAAACTGTACACATCTAATATACTTTCTTATTTAAAAAATACGGTTCTTATTAGTACATAACAAGCCAAACGTGTTTTTCGAATGTTGAGTATGACAAGAAAGAAGATAGACAATCGCGCATGGCTGTACGCGTTTCGCGGTTGATCCAGCCGACTAACTATTGATAGCAATAATTGCTGAGAGACAAAGACAAGAACAATGCACGAATGAATTTAAAAATTGATTGAATTGCTTGTCCTTGACGTCAATTCATATTTTATCAATTTGACTAAGTAACAAATGTTTTTGAGCTAATAAGTGATATTGACAAGTGATCTGTGTGACTTCCATTCTGCTGGTTACGTTAAATAGTTAGCTTTTTAGAACAATGCGACAAAAGTCTAGGTAGGCCGATGACTGTTGAAGTAACTTAGCAAACGAATATATTCATTAGGGCTCTGGCACGACTAATGTCTTGCTCCAATATTAAAATACGTGGGTGGTTCGATGGTAAACATTCTAGGTAAGTTTCACGTGTTTTTTCATAACATTGAAGTGCTTCCTTAAATTTTTTGTTTTCTTTATAGACAATTCCCATATTCGCGTATGTAACTCCAATGTTTTCATGGTTAGCAGGAAGATGTTGACCGTAAAGTTCTAGTGCCTTTTGATAAAACTGAATGCCTGAATCAAAATCGCCTTTAGCGGTATAAACATATGCCAGTACAGGATGATTTAAAGGGAGAAGAATAGCAAGTGCTTTTTCTTCGTATGAGAGAGCCAAATCAAGTTCTTTTTTGAAGAAGTGAATTTGACCAATTGCTACATATGCAGATGCTGTTTCTACTTCTGCTTCATGTTGATTTAATTTCGTCAATATTGCAAGTTCCCTTTGAAAATTCATCAGTGTTTCATCATATTGTGAGAGCATACTTGAAACTGATCCAAGCCCCCTGTAGCATCTAATCCTGTTCATTGTTACATCATATTGCTTGAGTAAAGGTGCAAATTCGTACAAGCTAGCTTTGTGAAAGTCGTATAATGCATTTTCGGCTAACAAACATTCGAAAAATTGCTTTGCTTTTTCAAATTCACCTTGACGATATAATAAAAATCCAAGAGAAATAGAGCCATCTTCTACTTCTGTTTTCGTTCGCTCCATCAAATCTTATAATTCAAAGTCATTCTCACTGCACAATGACATTTTTGCTAACCATATTTGTTGGTGTGCATCATAGTTAACTTCTTCAATACGAAAGATTGAGCTAAACATGATCAAAACTTCAACAACATGATGTCAAACATGATGTCAATATCATGATCTCTCAATGATTTGTTAACTATACGATACAAAAAGGAATTTCTGGTGTACCACTTAACTGCATAAGACGAATGGTAGTCATTTTCATATTCTCTAACAACATTTTTTTCTTGTTCGTGACCACTACAATTACAAGAATTTGAAACGGATATTAAACATAAATGGAGCAGACTCCATTATGATGCCGATTGTGTGTCACGTTATCCCGTAGTGCATCTGACGAATTAAACAAATGGGTGTTGGCTACTGATGTTAGTATGAAAGTGGATACATCTGGGTTAACAAAATTAAAACAAACACAAGATAGCGCTTCAAACATCAATGGAGTTCACACAACTGGGATCACCGTCCTCACCACGAAGTCGTATGCATCAGCAATATGTATTAATCAACGATATTGTTCACAAAGTTGTTCGAAGTCAAGATAAAACAACATTGCATTTAGCATATTTACCAAAGTCTTTGATCTCAACTGCTATAAAAAATTACCAGAATCATCTAACCGCACCACACTTCGGCATTTCGAGGACGTGGTATGGGGGACGGGACAAATACTACTGGCTGAAAAATGTTTAATACAATTGTATCATACGCTAAATCATGTAAAAGTTGTCAACGATTTAAATATCGTCCATGCAACCAAGTGGTACATTAGAATCAATATCACCCCCACTGCGCAATTTGAATTAGTAGGATTAGATTATTTAAGCCATTATCCACATCAGTCAATGGTAACAAGTACGTATTAATATTAACAGATCATTTAACCAAATATGTGGAGACGAATGCGATATCACAACCTCCAGCACAAGACGCAACAAAATTCGTAGTGGAACAAGTGATTCTTCGTCATGGCACGTCAACATGCATATTAACAGATCGGGGCACACATTTTACAGCAGAATTATTTCAAATATTGTGAAATGCTGTGGTACCAAGCACATTAAAACAGCAGCGTATCACCCACAGTGTAATGGTCTTAACGGAAAGAATTAATGCATTATTGGCTGATAAATCGGCTATCCATGTTAACAACAGGACACAGATTGAGACGAATATCTCCCTTTTGTGACTTCATCATGGAACACATATAGACATTCAGCTGCTGAATTAGAACCAGCGGTATTATTATATGGACGAAAACCAACATGCCTATTTCAACAATGTTATGGATCAATCACGATACCCAAAACATTGGATTATGCTGTACAGGCTGATAGGTATTTGAAACAAGCTCGACAAGATGCACAAACAAATAATATAATATGTACGACAACGACAATATCATAATCAAGGAAGAAGTGATATCAAGTTTAATATCGGACAACTAGTGATGGCAAGAAAGCCGGAAAGATCAGCAAAACTGGATGAGAAATAGAACGGACCATGGCGGATTGTTAATATATTTCCAATAACGTAATTCAATCGTCCTTGTTGCTTAACAAAATAACAAAACGTAAATCAGGTACAAAAATTATGTCGGTGTTAGGTAATGAATTTTAAAGGACTTTTGTTCCAGATATTCACCCAACAGACACAATGACTAGCGTATTCCTATTACATAAATAGTTTTATCAAAATGGCATTTGGGATCAACAGTAAAAGTCTAATGGCAAAAGACGCTTTTATTTTTTTCTCTAAATAGGATCAAATTTTTCTGGTATTTTATTGCTTTCTAATTGTTTTTAGTAGTCTATCACTGACGAGGATGTCAGTCCTTCATGACCGGGAAACGAATGTTAGGTAGACATTTGCACTCCGTAGAAGTCTATATTATAAGTCACTTTCTCGCCGCATGTCATTCTCTTTTTTCCTTCTTCATTTCTGTCCATTTGGTCATTTACGAATGGTGTGATACTACTTCCTTTTATTATACAATTCCCCTTTGTGTACACTGTTCATCTTTCTGTCTCACTTTTCTTTTGTTTAACTCGCACTATATATATATATTGACATATGTTATTCAGTGTAGCACGTTGGCTTTCAGCACTTACACTTCATTTTAACAGGATGTTAATCATTCTATAAATTTATATAATAAAGTTATCAAAATAACTTGTTATTAGTGTCTAATTAGTGAAAGTGAGATGTGACAACAAAATCTATGTAGTCATAAACCAGATTTCATCTTTCAAAAAAGTAGAAACTTTTAGTACTTTTAGGTTTTTCTAAAAGAATTATTTAGTTTCGTTCAATGGTTCTTTGACAAACGCATCAGTTTTTATATATATATATTCGTTTTTATATAAAAAATATTTTTCTTAAAAGCCGCCATTCTTTGAAACTTCGCAATTGAGCCCACAGTTACTTGTAATATTTGAGATGTCCTCAACAGCTGCAACTCTTATTTTTAATCACTCCAAAAAACAACTCGTCAACTATATTTTGAAAACGGAACCTTAAAAACAGATTGGACTACATTGAGTGGCCATATGTTTGCCTGCTTTTCTTGTACTAATAATCGTACCAGGCACAGAAAAGTACACAAATAAAGAAAGAATCAATGTATAACCTTGTACATTAATAATGAATAGTTTTTCTGGTATATAATAATAATCAATCATACTTCTATGTAAATAAGCTCACTAGACGATGTCATCAAATTATTATCGCTTGAATTGCTTCCATTTTTTCACAGAAACGAAAGTAAAACAAGAAACAATAGAGAGTGAATTAGAGATCTTGTTTTCTGAAGAAAACTTGCCTTTGCCACGAGTCTTTGCGTGTTACGGAAATAACTATGATCGACAAATATACATTTTAGGCATTCTATCGGTTAGCTTATTTCCACAAGCCCCCTTAACTAGCTCTAAATCTGAACAAAAGTAAAACTTGATCATTTTCGTGATAATATGACGAAGCATATTACCAGAATAAAACAAATAAAGTTGTTTATGAGTTGCTGAAGAGCACTTTTTCGTATTCAGCTCGCCAGTCGGTAACCCAGCAGATTTTCTATTTCTAGCCAGGGGTACTTGCAAAAGTTTAGACAAAATTTTGAAACAAAATGGGGCAAAAAATTCCAGTGGGAAAATAATATTCGTTTCAAAGCTTTTCGAAGTGCCCCTCGTCAGAAATAGAAAATCTGCTGGGTTGCCGAGTGTGCTGAATACGAAAAAGCACTTTTCAGCAACCCAAAACCAATTTTAGTTTTTTT